CTTCAGCAACCTCAGAAGTTTCGAATGAAGACCTCATACTTTGCTGATCAGCATTTGTAGACTGCTCTGCCAATTTTATGAGCTCCAAACAGCTTTTAAACATCTCATCCCTCTTAAAACTACTTGACATATTTTCCGAACTACAATCGAGGAAGACATTTCTATCTTGATTAGCTGTGTTCTGAGTTTCTTGTACATGATGGAGATGCTCTTCATCTCCTTCACAAGGCTCCAGCTCATATTTTGAAGCCAGATTGCCATTGTTTATCTCTCATTCACTTCCTGAAGTAACTTTATATGTGGTTGTATCAAGATCACTTAAATAACCAGCATCGCGAGAACATTCTTCTTTGTGATATTCTTTGGTCCCTTCATCTGGACTGACGTTAAACTTAGGCATGTTTTGTTGCACATTTTCAGTATTCCTCTCAAACGATGAAACGGGTGCTGTCAATACGTGGACATCTACACTTACCAGAACTACTTCTGAATTCAAATTCTCTGATTCTATCACATGCTGCAGACTATCTAGATTGCCATATCTACTTGAACCATATTCCGATAATTCGCTCAAACCTTCCTGAGATGATTGCTCATCTTGAAACTCGTAGAATATCCGCTCATTATCAGATTCAGTCCTTTCTAATCTGTCCATACCAAGAGTAACGCGTTCATCTCGCACCTCTGCCTCACCATTATCCAAATCCTCAGCTTCTTGTCTACAAAACCTATTGTCTGTTAAAGTATTGTCATTGTAAGTGTGATCTATATCATTACTCTCTGAGGTGCCTTCGAGATTATCAGAATCCTTCAAACCCTCATTTGTCTTGTCCTTTTCAGAGTTATTTTCCTGTACAAAATATGCTTCACCAGAATTATCAAGATACATATGAAAATTAGCTTCTACTCCATTAACTTCTATTCGGACAACCTTCTCTGCCCCTTTAAGAACACCCTGAAATTTACCAAACCGTACATACCAAGGTGTGCTCCTGAAGGCTCCATCGTGCTGCTTAACTACGATTATGTCAACTGCCCCACCAAATAGATGAAACGGTGTGGTAATAAAGCTGCTAACTTTACCCACAACGTTCATTTGGCCTAATTACAAAAAATTGCCCCAAAAATTCTAAAGAAATCAGTCATTCTACAAACTAGAGTTGGTATTGATAATCAAATCCACGGTCATCAATCAAATAATGTTGAAACATCACCTGAATTTTTTTTTTT